GGAAATTCACCTTGATGTGTAATGTGGGGCAGATGGTTGCTACTGCACGTCGGGGCTGCGGGGGCAGTGGGCGTGGTGGTGGTGGTAGTGGTAGTGGGGGGCGGGAGTTGGCCATTGACCGGGGAGGCCGAGCCCAGCCTGGGCAGCCTGGGCAAGCCTCGGCTCGTAGGCCCGGAGGTGCCCAGCGGTCCCGTCGGATGCTGTAAGGGGAGGGTAGCGAGGTGACTGACTGGCGAGGCTGGATTGTAAGGGTGGGCTGCCTGGCTGGCTGCCTGGCTGCTCGCAGGCTGCGACAGGGGCGTGGCAGGGTCGCGCAGGGGTGCGTGGCTGGAGCGGGCTGGAGCGGCGGCAGGCTGTCTGCACGGGCCCCACCCTAGGCCCCCGAGCCCCAGCCAGCCCCACGTGGGGCCACGGCGGGCTCGGCGCGCCCTGCGCAGCCCTGCGCGCAACAATAGAGGGAGGCGCCCCTCCTGGAGCCGTTTGAGCAGGGCGCTTCCGTCTGTTTGTCTGTCTGGCTCTTTGTGTGCGTCGGGTCACCTGTGAAGCGCGACGCTGTGGCGGGGCGGGGCGGGGCGGGGCGGGGCGGGGCGGGGCCGCCGACTCCTCGTCGTCGGGGTCGTCGCCTCAAGGAAGGGCGCCTCCCCTTGTCGCGGAGGCCAGACTCGAGGGGAGCGGAGCGAGCGGAGCCAGACGCGAGGACCGCCGCAGCCGCCCCGCCCGCCGACTGATTCCGAGACTCGTTCTGTCTCCCTCGCGCTCGGGGTCGTCCCGTAGAGGTGCGAGGGAGACGGCGACTCTCGGGAACAGCCTGCAGCCGAATGAAAAATTGAAGGGCGAGCGGAGCGGATTTCGGCGACGCGACGGCGCGGCGGCGACGGCTTGTCGGGCCAATAAAAACCCCCGACAGTCAGGCAGATGGACTCGGCGTGGCGGCGCAGGCCGTGCCCGTCGAACTCCAGTGACTCCGCCGAGGGGCTGCTGCTGTTGTTTTGGGCTAGGCCTTCCCTGGCCGGCCGGCGCGGCGCGGTGCGTGGGGCGCTGCTAGGCCTTCCCTGGCGGGGCCTTGCCAGGCCCTGCCGGCCCGGCGATGACGGCCTGCAATTTTAATGGCTGGGTTTGTGGCGGCGCGGCTCTTGGAAAGGTCGTCCGTGTGTTGCGCGGGGCCGCGGGGGCGGCCGGGGGCGGCGCCATGCCATGCCAGCCATGGCCTGCGGTCGGCTCATCGGCAGTTGACCCCGCGGACCTTTACGGCCACGGCAGGGCCTCCGGGGTTCGACGGCGGCCTCGGGGTTCGGGGCACGCACCCCGCATGCTGGCTGTCCCCAGGTCGGCGACGGAGGCAAACGCCCCCGCGTTTGACGCCTTGGAGTTTTAAGACGGCAACGATGATCCAACAAGTGGCGCGCACGGCGGGGGCTCGGGGGCGCCGGGCTAACGCCGGGCAGGCAGGCAGGCAGGCAGGCGTCCAAGTGTTGTTAGTCCGTTTTAAAGGGCGCGCGGGCCGGGCTGGCCGCGCCGCGGCGTCGCGACGCCCATGTGGTGGTTTGGCGTGCGATTCGCGGAGTGAGTGAGAGAGCGTGGTGGAGCCTTGCCGGCTTTTGTTGGATCGATCTTCCTTCCCGGGCGTTGCCTGGCGTAGCATGGCGTTGCCACATTGGCGCAGCGCAGCGCGCTACGGCCGCAGACTCCCCGTCCAGACTATTGAACTACTTCCCTCTCCCTCTCCAGTGTTGCCGTCCCGCGCCGCCCCGTCATCCCTCCCTCCCTCCCCCGGGTCGCTAGTCTCTACCCCCGGTGCCTTCCCTTCGCCGCGGCCGCCGCCCCGCCAGCCCGCCAGGCTGCCGGGGTTGGAAAGGGGAGCGCGCATGGCGTGGCGTCGCAGCGCCGCGGTCTCGTCCGGCCGGGGCTCGTGTCGACTCGCTAATTTCTCAGAATCCGCCCACGCCACAGGTTCCGCCTTGTCCGGGTGCTGGGCTGTGCCCAGTGTAGTTGTCAGGTGGTGGAAGGGATCTCGCTCATCCCCGTGCTGGCCGGCCGGCCGGCGAGCTGGACGACGACGCCGCCATGGCCAACATGGCGGTGCTACTCGCTGAGTCCGGCCGGCTCGATACTGGCCTTCACTGGCTACCGGTGCTTGCTCGGTCGGTGCGCCGGGAACACTCCGCACAGTGGGCCAGAAGCCGGCGGAGGCGGCCAAAACTCTCGACGCGTTTTGAGCTCCAGAGTCGCTAAATGGCACTCAAACCGAACGTGTGACCCCACCAATGGATTGCTCTCCGAACGAGGAATCCTCTGGTGGGGTCACACGTTCGTTTCGAGGCCTGTTTAGCGACCCTGGAGCTCTAAACGCGTCTAGAGTTTTGGCCGCCTCCACCGGTCTTCTGGCCCACTGCTCCGGGGGCGCTGCTGCCGTCGGCCGGCGTCCCTCCCCGCGCTGCCGCTGCCGCCGCCGCGCCAACCCCATTGACAGCGTGGCTGGCTGGCCTGGCGGGCTGCACGCAATGCGTCCCCACCAGCCTGCTGCGCCTGGCTGCACCCCCGACGAGGCTGGCGACGCCCGGCGACGCCCGGCAAGGCGCCGAGACGGTGGGGCGTAGCGTCGCGTAGCGTAGGGGCGTGCGCGAACCTGCGTGCATGCGGAGTGGCGAGGTGGCCGAGGCCGCGGAGGCGTGGGCCGTCTGACTGCGTCGGTCCGACCTGTTGGTCACAACCTCCTCGCCGCCTCGGTGCAGCGCGCACAGTGGGCCAGAAGACCGGTGGAGCGGCCAAAATTCGAGACGCGTTTTGAGCCCCAGAGTCGCTGAATGGGACACCAACCGACCGTGTGACCCCACCAATGGATTATCCTCGTTCGGAGAGCTATCCATTGGTGGGGTCACACGGTCGGTTCGAGTCCCATTTAGCGACTCTGGAGCTCAAAACGCGTCTCGAATTTTGGCCGCTCAACCGGTCTTCTGGCCCACTGTGCCGCGTACGGCGCGTGCGGCGTGCCTCCGCCCTTGCAGGCTGCCCGTCCCGCGGTCGGCCAAGACGTCCGACTTGGCGCTCGCGGAGCGGAGCGAGTGGAGGAGCATCCCGATGGGACTTCCCTGCCGGTCTGGGCGCACGGCGCGCAGTGGCTCCTGGAACTTCTGGAAGGCCCGGGCGGTCGATGCTGCCTCCGTCGCCGCCCGGATGTGCTGGCCGGTCTGTGCTGTGGACCGAGCGAGTCGAGGCAGCCAGCCCCGGGATGTGGGCGGGTGAAAGGTCACAGGGCACGGCGGCGGCAGTGGCGGCGCCGCGACCGCTGCCTCCCCTCTCGGTGCGTCTCTGTCTGTCGGTGCGCGCTGGCGTCGCGTCGGCCGCACAGTTGCAGGGCGTCGCCGCGGCGCTCTGGGCCTCCACGTGTTATGAATAAATCGGGTGGCACGGCTCGCGGACCCGACCCCCGCGGCCCCCGCACAGGGCCCCTGCCCTGCCCCTCCCCGACCTAGGGTACCCAGGGCAGTGTGCCGGGTGCAGCCAGCGGCCGGCCGGCTTGCCCGGTTCGCGGGCCGGGGCCGGGGCTCGCCCGGCCCTCTAGGACGCCCTGGGCCCCGAAAGGGCGCGGGACGAGCCCCCTAGGGGGCCCGGCTGAGCCTCCGCCGGTGTGGGCGTCCTTGTGGGGCCGGGCCTCTAATTTTAGACTTCCCCAAACTTGCATGCCTGGAGCGCGCCGCTATTTTGGTTGGAGGCGGTGGCGCCGGTGGCTGTGGGGTAAGCTAGAAGCCGGGCCGGCCGGGGCGTGGCCTCCTGCCTACCGTGTGTGTCGTCGCGGGCCTGCCTGGCGCGCACCGCGTAGCCGCGTACCGCGTCATTAAGGGCGGTCGCTGCGCGGCTAATCGATAGTCGCCCCGCGCGGCCATGGCGGCTGCGTCCGAGCCGTCCGCGCTGTCCGCGCCGGACGGTCTGCTTTGCCGCCACGCCCAGCCGGCCGGCTCGCGCAGCTCGCGCCGGCGGCGCTCTCACACGCGGCCTTTCCGTATGATTGAATGGCGGTGGCTTCGCCCGCTCCACCCTCGCCCTCACGCAGCCCCGCGTGTGATCGAGTGGCGGCGACGTCCTCGGACGCAACCCTCTCGTACGATTGAATGGCGGCGGCGCGGGCGGCGCTGGCGCTCAGGACGCGTAGGCTTCGGTAGAGCGGTCGGTGGCGTCGCCCGGCGTCGCCCTTCGCCGTGCCGTCGGAGTGGCGGAGGCAGCGCCGGCAGCGGTGCCAGATTGGCGTCCCCTCGGCGTCACTGATCCGCTCCCTTCATCTCCGGGAGGCCCTTCCCTTCCCAGCCCTTCCCCCGCGGCCCAGCCGCCCAGCCCTGAGTCCAACCCCGCCCGCCCTGCGCCTCCCCGTAGTCCCGTCGCGTGGACGCAGCGGGCGTTGTTATTTGTTCGATACCCGGCTTCATTGACTCCGTCCTAGACCCTGACCCCGGACCACACCGGCGCCCTCAGTATGCCGAACAGCGCCTGGTCGCTCTGTCTCTCTCGCACCCCTGCGGGGCGTCCCATGAGTGCGAAGGACAGTGACGACAGCACTGCTGGCGTCAGCGTGGTGGATTCTGGGTGCACTCCGCTAGAATCCGGGGTCGAGTCTCGGCCGTCTCGGCGAGGCGATGGCTATGATGCTCGCTGACAGCCCGGCCCGCCCGGCTGGCCTAGAGGCTGGCCGACCCCCGGCCCTGGGGGGCGGGGAGAATTGGCGGTCGGGGTGAGCTGGGTCGCAGCCAGTAGGCACTGTGTTATTTCGGTTTCCATGCCCCGCCTCGCCCCGCCCCGCCCCTCCTTGCCTGATGCCTCGCCAGGCCACTGTCAGGCCGAGAAGTGCATTACGGATGACGCGAAGGGCGTGGAGGAGGGGAGAGGGAAAGCCCTGTAACCCGGGGAACAGATGACGAAAGTTTGAAGCAACGCGGACTCGCAGTTTTGGTAAAAAAAAAAATGTACGAGTAATTAATTTGTTGTTTTTGTCTTTTATTTGTCTGCAGGTTTGAAAAAAAATTTACAATGATGCAAAATGGAATGGACACGATGCCGCAGCACAACGGGACAATGCACACCAACTCGTCCCACAACTCCTCCGCGAATTCCAACGAGGAGAGCAAGACCAATTTGATAGTCAACTACCTTCCACAGACTATGACACAAGAAGAAATACGGTCTCTATTTTCATCTATTGGTGAAGTAGAGAGCTGTAAACTCATCAGAGATAAAGTCACTGGTAGGTTTAACTAGAGTTTGGCACCAATCTTGCATGTCTTGCATCTGGTGTCGACTCGAATCAATTTATGATGTTGCTTAAAAATGGAGTTATTTACCGTTTTACTTTTAATGGTGCAAAATTGAATTGTTTTTGTGATCTTACATACACAGGACAAAGTCTGGGTTATGGGTTTGTAAACTATCACAGACCGGAGGATGCGGAGAAGGCAATCAACACGCTGAATGGCCTCAGGTTACAAAATAAAACTATTAAGGTCAGTAGTTTGTGGTGTGATGCAGCCTCCATATTGTTTTGAATTGTCAGGTAATTTTTACATTATTTTATTAGGTTTCCTTTGCAAGACCGAGCAGTGAAGCAATTAAGGGAGCTAATTTATATGTGAGTGGTCTTCCAAAGAGTATGACTCAACAGGACTTGGAAAACCTGTTCAGTCCCTATGGCAGAATAATCACATCTAGAATCCTCTGTGACAATATGTCAGGTAAGGGTATCAGTGTTCTACTTCTATCAGTACCTTAATTTCCTGTTACTATTTGCCAACCTGTGGTTCTAATTTGTATGAAAAAAAAATCTTCAAGTATTTGTGATGGCCAGTATGTGCCCATACGCACATTGTGAATCGTTCACACTAAATTGCTTGAGGCATGACATGTCACTTTATGTATCTCATCTTCATCCATCCATCCATTCATTCACTCATTCATTCTTAAGTGTTGTGTTTTTGACATAGTCTAATTTCATATTTATTCTAACAATCTTGGATTTTAAACTATCAGTAGATTTCACTTCTTTTGGGTGAAATGTAGTTCAATAGTAAACTAACATAGAAAATTTGAAACAGCAATTAATTGAGCATGCAAGATGATGTTTTTATATAACATTGGTTATGTCTTGGGAGCTTGTTTTGAATCACCTTAGGCTGTGCAGTTTGGTGCTTCAAGACCGAGAAGTTATGGTTAATTTACACTGTATCCTAAAGCACATGCCATTTCACTTTTCGGTGGTGAATTTGTTTATCAGATGGGTTTAGTTATCATTTTATTTCTTTAGTTCAAATATAAACTTAACATCTGACATAGCCCAAGCAAGTTTTTGTTGCCATCCAATCATTGAAGAATCACACCATTCTCAAACACAGTCTTCTTTTGGTATGAGTTGGTTCGACTTGTTCATTTTGGGTTTTTTCTTGTTTCTTTCATAGTACGCCAGTTTGTGAGCGGATCGGACAGTGTTCCATGTACGTGAGTTAAATGTTTTGTTTTACGTATGGCTTGATGATACTGTTCGTCCCTAGTGTGTGTAGTGCACGGTGTGCTTATCTTGGCCGTGGTTTGCCTCAACTGCCACATTGCCCCTCTGTCTTGGTAATCCAAGAAATAGAATTACCGGTAGAAACTTCAGGGATTTTTCCCCCTCAGATATTTTTCCTTTCATGTGAATCCAAGTTCAAATCTGGTACAAATCTGGTTAGCAATTGATTGGAATATACATCCTTCACACATTTTGCTGATCGAACACAAAACCTGCTTCATATTATTTTCCATGACTCTCGCACAATATACAGTTTGAAATGCAGCTTATTTTTCTTTCTATTTTGAAGAGTTCATTTGATCATGAGACAATTTTTTAAACTATTGATTTGTGTGTGGGTGTGTGCATCTGGGTGTGTGGCTTTTTCACTGAAGTACTAACCTCGGGGCATTTTAATCAAAAAGTATTTATTGTTTGTGAGTGCACTTTGTTTTGCTTCCTATCCATACTATCCCCTCCTTTTTCGTTGGGAGTTGTCTTGTGCCCCTTATGACATCCACTAATGCTGAAACTCAAAATTGCTATGGAATCCAAAGGGGTGGACATTGTACATAATTTTTAAAAATTATGCTATTTTAATGACCATGCTTTATATTATGACTGCCATTGAATAATTACTTCAATTTTAAACTGTGCAGCACCTTTATTTTGTGTTGCTTATGTTTTGTTGGTTTTATTTTTCAGTTTCATTTTCTAATCAAAATTTAGTCTTGATTTTACACAATTACCACTGTTGCAATGTGATATGGTCGTGTTTTGGGATATCTGTGTGGATTTCCTTTGTCTGCATCACTTATACCATACCCCTGTTCATATTTTTCACTTTCATTTTCTCATCTCCTGCTGGATTGTCAGCGATTTGTTAGTTGCCCCTCTGCATGTTTATATCATCAAAGTGGCAGTGTGTTTGGTAGATGTTGAAGTAAAAGTGTCACTTTATTGCTGTGAAGGGTTTATGCACGGTTTCTAGTGTGAGCTGTACTCATGAGACCTTCTTTTCCAGGTCTTTCTAAAGGTGTGGGATTCATTCGATTTGATCAACGTATGGAAGCTGAGCGCGCCATTCAAGAGTTAAATGGGACAGTGCCGAAGGGATCAACAGAACCCATCACCGTCAAGTTCGCCAACAATCCTAGCAACAATAATAAAGCTATGCCACCACTGGCTGCTTACCTGGCTCCTCAGGCTGCTCGGCGCTTCGGTGGACCAATGCATCACCCCACAGGCCGCTTCAGGTACATTCCTTTGTCATCACCCACTCACCCCATTCTTTCCTATCCAGTTCGCTGCACCATGAATCCCTCCTTTTACCCTGCCCCATACTAACGTCTTGTGAAAAGTTAATTTGGGTATACCCTGTTTTGGTAGTTGTGTGGAGAGATCTGTTCCTTCATGAGAACCCAAAACTATAACCTAACTGGAAGTGGTGTCCCTTGGTACTTTTCGATTGATTTTACTTCTTCTGGGGTTTTAATTTTTTACTAGAATCAGACATAGATGAGGTTCTTTGGTGCTACCAAGTTGTATGCTACCAAGTTACCTTGACCATCTTAGCTGAAATTACAGCTGATTGAGGTACCACTGTCAGTACACCTGTTAGGATTTTGATGATTTTTAGTTGTGAGAATATCAAGCTGCTGTTCAAATGACACTATTTATGATCCTTGTTGTTAAGTTTGGTTGTGGTCATTTCTTTGTGCTTTGCATCTATCTTGCTTCGTAACTGAAGTAGCTATATCACATACTAACATAACTGTACGAGATGCCTTTTTCCTCCATCAAGTGTGCAAGTTTGGCGTACGATTTGTTACTATAGTTAATTTCATAATAATTGTATAATTATGCCAAATCTGACTAGATTTCACTGTTTCGAGTGTTAATCTCTGAGCATAGTGCATGCTGCACATTGGTTGTAGCAGTTTGTGTAAGTGCCTTTTGGCAGTTTCTTTTTTTGAAATCATTAATGTATGTCTTTTTGGATTTGTTGGAAAAAAGACAAACAAACAAAATGAGTAATCATGGTTAACAAAATGTCTTCTTGGAAGCTGCTTGTATTCTTCCGTGTTCCTTTTATCTTTTGAGTGCTGTGTGTGTGAGTGTGCGCGCGCGCGAGTGTGTGTAAGTGAGAGTGTGAGAGTGTGTATAAATTTTTATCTTACAATATGTGATATTTGCTTTAGCTCAGGGAAGGCCCTCTGTGCACCCCATCCCATGTGCTTATTTTGGCACAAACTTTGCTCTGTACCCTCATAGCTAACAGGAAATCTGAGAATGAAGAGAGATTTTACTACAGTTTCTTTCAAGTAGCTTTGTTCATGTCCACAATACTATGAGATTCCTTTATTACTTAGCATTTATCAGTTGATAACCTATTTCGAACCCAAAAATATCTAGTCCCAATTTCTTCAATTACATACACAATTTGTTGTCTGTTTTCTTTCTCAAAAATTTGTTTTTATTTCATTAGAGAGACATGGAACCACATTTGGTGCTGGTTAAATCACTGCTTTTACTTCTGTATCTTCACTGTTTTATTATCACTTTCTCTGCATATTACTAGTTTAGAACTCAACATTTTGCCTCGTCGTAGAAGTTCTCCCTTTCTATATGAGTGGCTTTATTTCCTGCTCGTTATTGATCTGCATTATGTACGATTTTGAAATATTTAAACTGAATTGTCAAACCAAAATTCTTTTGCCATTTTGATACTAATTGAGAAACATATCCTTGCCAAGTATCTGTAGGTTTGCATTATCATTCTATTTCCAAATTGAAACATTTTCTGTTAGGGGATGGTGTGCAGCTAGTTTGGGTTTTTAACACTACATGCTGTATGGTTTGATTGTGGCTGTAATGTCAAAGCTCTATATTTAATGCTTGCTCTTCATTGCTGCTTTTGCCAGTTATAAATAATGCCAGAAAGAGAAATTACACAGTTTTGAACACACATTAAACCATATAGCATGTAACTTTAGACTTTCTAGGTTGCAAATTTTGGTATTTCTTGTCTGTTATGTTGTGCTATATTGCTTATTGCCCTGCCTTTCCAACAAGCAGCCCATACGGACTGCCCCTGTGGCCAGACACAAGAGATAGGTGAGTATATACATTGTAGGTCCACACATCGAATCCCACCCACATAAGCATTCACACAATTCCAAACATAGCGTAGAATGGAAAGGCAAGGCAAAAATTGTGGGAACTCAGTATTCTCTGTTTCAGTTGGAACTTGGAGCACTACATTAGAAACTAGGCGAATGTAGATGCACATATTTGCTTTCCCTTTCATAGCAAAATTGGGGCATGATTTCTCTTACATTCCTTAGTGGAGCAATTCCAGGATCATTTGTGTGGCTCATAATCCAAGTTTTACTAGAAATCTTAGCATGGTTTTTTTATGTAGTGCTTCCAACAGTCCATTGTTGTTGTTAAATCAATTGTCATAAATCATATACTTAATTAATAAGCCTATAGTTGCAAATGATAAAACTTCGTTTTGTAACAATTTAAAAGCACATTTGTTTGTTTTTATACGTACCTCTGTATTTGCCTGCATGAAGTATTGATTTTGCTCCTTACAGAGTTTTGTAATGATGCATCAGTTATTTAGATCTCATTTAGTTATATTTTAAAACCACTTAGTTTAATGAGTATTACAACTTCTTATGAAACTGTCTGCGAATGAATAAAATAAAGTATCAAAGTATCTGACACCTTTAATCCCAGCTGTTGCTCATACAGATGATGCTCAAACAACTACACACATCTAAAGCCTGTTTCATCTTTCCTTCCACCTAGTCTCTCTGCAATGAGTTTCCAATACATCCATTTTATTTTCTTGTTATTCCCTATTTTGAAACCTTCCTCGGTTCACTTTTCATTTTATGTTCCCTCACCTGAAACTCCCTTATTTAAAATTCTTCTCTTAATCTTGGAAATTTGTCTAAACGTCTGGCCATCTGTTGACTCTTATGTTGATAGCTCAGGCCTAGGAAGTGGAGAGACTTATATTGCCGCCAACATTCCAAGGTGATTTGAAACAGGCTTTGTTTGCAGAATTAGTTCTGTAGAAAACTATAATTTTTGTTTCTCACCACTTAGTGTGGACTGTGGTAATTTGAAATCTTCTTATTTTCTGTCTTTGCCATTATCTTTGCCTCATTCTAGTAGAATCTAAATCCAGGGTGGAAGTACATGTGTAGCCTCACAGTTGTAGGGAAAAATCAAAGCTAGAGGGAGTGTTTGTAAGTGCCCAAATTGTATTTTATTCCTTGTTTCTCATGACAGCAACTGATTACCCAATAGAGCATTTATTCTTTCTCCCAGAGTTTTGCAGCAGGTTGACCCCAATTAATGAAATGTTCTGTGTTTTCCTGGATTAGGGGGTACAGAGTACAGACAAATTTATCAGGCCAGTTTTGCAAATCAATCAAAGAAATTTTTTATTAATGGGGTTTATTGTGATAAAGACTGGGACGTAAATTTGATGTGCAGCATTTTCCCAGGTTGCAATTCTTTACTTTGTTCTTTTCTTTTCTCTCTGGTATTCTGGTAGCTTTGATCTGACATGAGCTGTCTTGGTTTGAATTGGATTGAAGCGTGAACAGTGCTCGCTCAGCATCAGTTTGCTTGCCTTTGTATTCCTGGGATTATTCTCTTATGTTTGTTTGTGTATTTTGTTTTAGCACTGGCAAGACAATGCTAGCCATTAACAAAGGTCTCCAGAGGTCAGTATATTCTTTCTATTGAAGTGCATGCTTTAGACCTGTAGCTTCCTTTCTTTGGGTAGTATGGCATACATAACTGTTCAAATTTTGAAACCTTAGCATATGCACAGAAAACATAAAATTTAAAGACTTTGTTTGGTGGATATGTCCTTATCTACCTGGCAGATGATTGGATAATCAGTCTTCTGTTGAAAAAACAAATAGCCTTAAATCAAGAGTCTCTTTTTAGCCTCCAGTTATGTATTGCTTTTCTTTTGTGTTTTTCAAACTCATTTGCATGATTGTAACTCCTTTATTTTTCCCATGATAGTTTGAAAATTAATGTTACTGTTCTAAGAAAACACAAACAGTATTTGATTGCATGATCATGCGTCTCTCTCTAAATATTGGCAAGATCTCCTCATATGTTTTAGTAGTTAATTTTGATTGCAGCATGCTGTTGTACTAGATGCACACATTTTATTACATAGTCACTAAAGTTTTTAACTCAACAGCACTGCAACCCACAACCAATAATGAACCTATTATTTCGAAAGGATCTAATGCCCTTCATTTGACAGTCAGCTCCACATGTTCAGTCATGCTTCTCAAGTTATACTAGTTCACTGTGCAAATGTTAATTAAATCTCTTTTCAAAGGAAAGACTTTCTTTGGAGATCCTCCATTGTCACTATAGTAGCCATAGTTGTGATGGTGGCCCTTTTTCTGCATCAGATTAGTGATGTCTCTCTCTCCTGCCAGCAGGTACTCTCCACTCGCGGGTGACTTGTTGGGTCAATCCATGCTTCCCGGCAACAGTATGAGCGGATCTGGCTGGTGCATCTTCGTTTACAACCTGGCTCCTGAAACGGAAGAGAATGTCCTGTGGCAGCTGTTTGGCCCCTTTGGAGCAGTTCAGAGTGTCAAGGTGATTCGTGATCTTCAGACCAACAAATGCAAGGGCTTTGGTTTTGTAACCATGACCAACTACGATGAAGCTGTTGTTGCTATCCAATCACTAAATGGCTACACTCTTGGTAATAGAGTCCTGCAAGTCTCATTTAAAACCAACAAGAGTAAAACCTCATAAGATAAGCCTGGGTGTATAAATTATTTTGCTGTGACTTGAGCTAGTCAACTTGGGAGTATGACCTGAAGGCTTAATTTGTCTCAACCTCATCCTTGTACTTAATCATCAATTATTTTAAGGTTTAGGATAATCGCAAAGTTGAGAGGGAATTTTCTATGATTGTGAATAGCACTGTTTGTTACCATATTTAAAGGTTGAAATCTTCCATTATTTAAGTGAATGTCTTGGGACAAATTTAGCGTTCAGTTGTTATATCTTCATCTGTTAAAATGTCCTGATGTTAAAATGAAATTGAGCTAGTCAGACTAGTGCAAAATATGTACTACCTTTCCCCTATCCCTGTTTTCCCTTCCCTGCTGGCAGAGATTGCCAGACATACCAAGTTCTTATTTAAACTTCATTTGTATTCCTTGATATTGCTTTGTTTGGCAGTTGTCTGCCAGCTAATTTTGTTCATCCAATGGTGAGAATATTTTAAGTCAACTTGCTCACCTGCCATGGCATCCACTATTCATGAATTTTAGTTTTGTGTATTTCAAAATGCGTATTGCTGTAAATTCAGCAAGTCAAACTTCTCATTTAAGTTTTTTAAGTTTTTTCTTTTGTGTGTGTTTTTCTTGCCTTTTGTATACTTTAAACTCACTTTAACTGGTTTTGTATGCACATTTATTTGCTGCCGTGCTCAGCAGTAACTTAGATTTTTTTTTTGTTTGGATTGTTTTGTTTTCATTTGACTGTGAAACTTCACTGCAGCTTTTTTCTAGTGCACATCATTTGTGCAGATTATTTTTGTGGGTGCATTGGCCATGTGTGCATTGCATACTTAAGTGCAATCTTGTGTGCTCACTATGAGTCTTTCACACAGATTGCAGATCATAGCTTTACTTTGTATGTTCAATGTATTATTGTGTGAATGAGAAGATGTGTGTGTATGTGTGCGTGTTTATGAGAGAGAGTGTGTGTGTGTGTGTGTGTGGATAATATACTGTACCTGTATATTTGTTTATATACCACTATAAATGTGTATTTATTAAGCCTACTGTTCCATAACGTGACTTTATGATCAATTCTTTCTTTCTTTTGTACTACGTGCATTGTAGCGCTGTTATGAACTCATGTGAATGTTTTGCTAGTCATTTACTTTAGTGTTATTTGTGGTCTGTTAAATGATGTTGCATTTACTATGCCATCTTGAGTTATGGTGCAGTAGGCTGAGAAACTTGAGTCCACACACACATACAAAAGTTGTATTTGTAACAATTGTTGCATCTGTGTAGCTATAAAGATTGGAACTTGACATATTGTCATGTTCATTTAGCTTGGTGTTGTGTTATTGTTTGCATTTCATCACTACCTTTGGCATCTGGCTGTGTCAACTTAATGTGACTACGCTGTGTTTTGCAGCATCATGATGCTATGATTATTATATTTATTACCTTAGTTGTCTTCTGAGGTGTGTTGATGCGCCAAACACTTTGCGTAAGAATGATTTCTCTTTTAAGGGACTTCCAGTATTGACTTTATAAGGAAAATGAATTTGCACAGCATAATACTAAAGTACAGTTATGCAAATGATCAGGTAACTTTATCAAATATACTGCCCAACAAGATATGTTGACTTCCAGAAAGAAATTTATTTTTGTAAGACCGCATGTCAAATTTAACAAATGCATTCCTAGGGCAAAAGATTTTAATGAGCCGTAATGAGAAAACTTAAGAGTAAATTTGAATTAATCTATCAAATGGGACTACATTTATGTTTTGTGCCCGATAGATACTTCTTCCTTGAAAGGATTGCTCGTCCAAAGCACACAGTGGGAGGGATGTGCTCCACCCACACCGTAAGTACTAATTGTACTTATATGCTATTTGTACTGTACCATACTGAAGCACTAGGCCTATTTACGTCACGTAGCTCTGGTATGGCACAAGAATCTGCCTCAGTGCTGTGGGTTGTACTGATTTGCTCCAGGGGATATGGCAGTGGTATATCATGAAATCAGACTGATGAGTGAAATTACCATAATGAATATCAAGGGTATGAATGAAATGTATTTTAATAAGTGATGGGAGGGGTAGGGGAGGTGAGGGGACACGTGAGATGGTAGTATTATTACTGTTAGGTACAGTGCTGTACTGGTCTCATAAGCTGTACCAATCAAGTGCAATATCACAAATGTTATAAGTGTGTCAAATAATATCCTCCTTGGCTCTCAGGATGACTAGATGAATACTTCTTGAGAGAGCCAGCCGTGTTCCCTTGGGGCGAATCATATTTAGGCTTAAGGAGAATAGTCACCTAAGCTGCAGGAAATGTGACTAAACTTTCCTATTTTCTGAGAAAATGTGTCTTAAGTCGCTGCTCTATTGTTAGATATAATTATTGCACAGAGGAGTGGTCTTCTTTGACTTGATAATGGAAGCAATAAGAGAATTATGAAACTAGTCAAATGTTTTTAAAATATCAGTAGCACTATTTAAAGAGAAACAAATACAATGAAACATGGTTTTCGTTAGAATGCCATTTAATGGAGCCAAAATATTCTTTTAATTAGATGGTTTGACTGTAAAACGAAAATAAAAAAGTGTTCTATTTTGAAAGTATTACAACCCTAGGCAAAGCCTAGGGTTTGTTTTGTACCGGACTTTGTATGCAGACCACACAGGTCTGGTAGCGGTAGCAGCAGTGACCATAATGACAGATTTTCAGGTGATTTATTTTCTATTCAAAAGTTGGCTGTTCACCTTAATCTAATGTTAAAATGATTGTAAACTAATAGGGGTATAACTCTCTGTACATACATTATCTGAGATTAGGAATGATATAGGAAAACTTTTGATAAAAAATCATGCTGTTATAGAAGTAAGAGTTAATACAGTAAGCGGATTTTTAAAAGTTGAATGTACTCGTTTCACTTTCCAGTCCTATCATTAAAACCAACAAATATTACTTTGAACATTCCTCATCTAATGAATTCATTATTTCTTATTAAGGGGCAGGCTGTACCCATGGACCTAGATTTATTATTGAACAATGAACTGGCCTTCCCATCTACTGAGGTCCAGAGCTCATTATTTCACCGGTTGGCTTTGAATCAAATCCTATTGTCGCTTTGAAGCGTCATAAATCACAAGGCATCTCTCATTGATGCAGTAGACAGATCTGGGCCTTTCTCTGTTGATGTCTATCATTTTTTTCTCTTTATGTTCAGAGCATTGTTAGTGTAAGACACAAAGATGACTTATGGGTGAAAATAAAGCCCAGATCTTGTATATAGCTATCTTCTCTGGGTCTCAGACTGTTAAAGTTTGTTAAGTATTATTGGAGTACCTGGATTGAACGTAGGGCCGTAGTGATAAGCGGCTTCTGTTGGATCTAGTGACTTTTGGCTGTTGGAGCATGGAGAAAGAAAATGAGAAAACTTTCAATAATGAAATTTAAAAAAAAAGAAACTTATGAAATCTTATGAAAAATGAGTCTTCTTCTGAACTGTCTGCCAAGGTTTTATGATCTGTGCCCTAGGGACTTGGGAAAGCATTGAGGTGATTTATTCAACCCCAAATGTAATGTGAATGAATCGGATGCGTGGCCAGAGCCAGATCACTCAAACTTGCTTTAATATTTTTGGGTTTAGGTTGTGGACGCTGTTTCTGCATTTATCCAACTTTATTATTGTGATCTGTGCTGAGCGAATTTGCATACAGTTAAAATCACTTTGAAGCTTAATTGGACCTCTTTGTTCTAAGAAACTTAAACCAGCTGCAATTTGACCACAGGTTCATGAACTTAGTGTGGAAAATGATTATTATGTTACTTTGATATATTTCTTGTTCTTAATTATTACCAATACGTATTGTGGTTTGCTTGATTATGGGCGCAGCTATGCTCACTTGTTTTATTCTTTCTATTTAGAGATAAGATCAGTCAAATGCAGTCCGTATGCGTAAAATCATGTGTTGCATATGACACAATGGATAGAACTGGATGCGTCTCTTTGCAACACATGTTAAGCTTACACATCTTACAACATTCCTTTTGTAGTAATTTCTTTTCAATTCAATTTGGGAGGTGTGACTATATCCCAGAAAATTACGTTTTTTTCTTGACTCTTGGTTTTTCTTTGCCCCCAATTTTGAAATACTCCCATAGTTGTGTGTGATGTACTTTGATATTATGAGATGATTTGGAGCTCACTTGTTGTAGGTCATGTTCCAAAATTTATCCAAACGACTTTGTTCACTTTTTGGCCATCATCTCTGGGCAGATGTAGGTATTATCAGATGCAAACATGTGCTCGAGCTCCAGTTCTTCCATACACATTTTATCATGGAAATTTGTGAAAAATGGCCTAAATTTTATTGATCCATGACTACAGATGTGAGAAAGACTGCTTTTGAAGGATCTTGCTTATTTATTAGTATTTGTAATCATCTTTGTGTGGTGTAATTTCTAGGTTGTAAACGTTGATACCAAAGGAAAGTGGGCTTTATGCTCCTAAATGACTCAAATATTTGTGTCTAAGCATTCCATTGTCTTTTGTTTAAGGAACTGGTGGTTTCTGTATTATAGCCAGCCCCACAAAACAGTAATGCAAATGCAACAACAGGAAAGAAATTGACACGGTCATAGTTCTGCTATTGAGACCATCTCACTGCACTTATTTCTTGGTGGTCTCATCAAAAGTCACCGTTATTTATGAATTTGGTCAAGGCTTCTCTCAGAGATTTTGCTTGTACATTTCTTTTCTGTCGTCACAACTGAAAAGCACCACTTATGAAGTTCATCCCAGTATCTTAAATTACGTTGATTTTAATTAAATTTATTTATTGATGCAGTTGTGTAACAAGCTTTGGTGTTTAGCTCTTAGACTGAGTTTTATTGTGCTTACTTTAATGTCTTCAAAAACTCATTTTAGTATATTGATTATTTACAATAACAAATATTTGTACCAAAATTATTTAAAGCCATATGCTTTTACCAAAAAAATGTTACTTCAAGGTACAAAATTGCTAGATTTTGTGTTTATTTGTGTGTTAGCTTTATTTATAATATGTTACATGATCAGGTGCAAAACTGGCCAACAATGTAGGTTTTATGAGTTTTTCACTTTTCAAACATTTTGTCATTAGCTTGTGAACCTCTGTTAAGAGTATGTGTTATACAACCAAATATTCATTTTCTTTCTTTTTATTTTCTTTGCAGTTTTCTGGTCTAAGTAAAATAATGACTCATATTAATGTCTCCTCATTATCCTTTTAATCTTTCAAACTATCACAAAATTCACTGACATCATACAAAAATTCTTAAACAGTTTAATCTAAACTCTGAGAATATCTAGCACATATTTTAAAGAAGGGCTTGTTTCGATGGTCCAAGTACTTTGTCAATACTGCCATCCCTTCTATGTGAGCTACCATAGTCGCAGTATTATTTTCTGGCTCAAGGTGGAAGGCTTCCTCCAGATTACCCTCATCATCCCGATCAGGCCCTAGGTAATAAACTTCTCCCCCATGTTTCTGATGTTCGACACCGAAGTACAAATGGACATCAATGCCAGTCATGTTGTTAAGTGGATCATCGTCTACCAGCACAGTGTAGTCTCCTGCCTGCCACCGCTGCACCTCAAACCAACACTTTGGAGTTGACCTAGAGTCTGGGTCAATATCCACAGTACACTCTGACAGAAACCAAAACCAAAGTTTAGACTGAAGAAGCTTGAGAAATTGAGAGACAACCACTGGCAAGCTCGAAGGCTTTGCTACATGATATCTTCTATGGTTGGCAGGTCCACATGCTTCCCATTTGATTTTTAAATTGGTCAGAGCGTTTGATACTTCTTCAAATACTTCAGGTTTTAAAAAATTTGGAAGGCTGATGCTCAACTCTCTTTCAAACGAAGGTTTCACTTGAGCGTGTGTCTTAGGGTCCAGCCAAGTGGAATTGACAAACTTATCTAAAGAGACATCTCGAGGATTGATAGGGGTAAGCATTTTGGGCAAGGGGGCATGCCACACTACTTGTTCGGGCAACGCCTCTCCATGATACCAACCATTGATTGACAGGCGAACAGATTTTGGATTGATAATCTCCGATACTTGATGGTAAGAATTGTGAGTCACTTCAAAAAAGGCAAATGACCCATATGCAGGGAAAATAGATTTAACTACATCTCTTGGTTGATTCTCAGAATCACAGTCAAATAAATCAAGAGAACCTCCATCCTTCTCATGCCAATCCTTACAGAGGTAGAAAATGAATGCCACACTACGGTCATGAAGATTGTCATCATGACAAAGCAGCCTGTCAGTATATTTATATTGTGATGCTGTTATAGTCATCTTGTCAGAAAACTTTTTTCCAGTAACTCTCTGAACAAATGCTCGTAATGGTCCTTTGATTAACTTTACAATAGCATTAATAGCAGGATGAGAATTATTTGCCTCTGCTACACAAGACTGCTGGCATGAATACAAGTCATTTAACATCAGGTTATAAGGCAGTTTAAGAAGTTCTTTGCAAACGTCATCGAGATGTGAGTTATATCTCAACATTTTCTTAACAACACAGTGCTTGAATGGTGCCGAATCCACATTGAAGACATTATCGTCATATTTCTCACCATTCATCCAAATTTCTCTTATTTTCTTGTGCTGTTGAGACATATAAGGCTCGAGGGGAAAGATCAACTTGTCCACTTCCATCACTTCCATGTCCTTAACAGCCCAGGAATGAGTTGAAGTACAATTTGGTGAAGCAGTTTTCAAGAGTTTCTGAGTTTTCTTGGGAGCTCCATTCCTCTTCACTGGAGGGACATTGGCTGGAGGACAAAGGGGCTTCCTCTTCCTTCTAGTTTGTTTGGTCCTTGCCATAGTTGATCCTGAAATAATAAAAGCAGTTGAAATGGAGACTACAAACACGAATACCAGAAAACCTAACCCAACAGCCGACTTCTTTGTATTACCTCAGTCGACAAACAAAACCGATTTCCGATACCGGTTACACTGTGCAACCACGTCGATCAAGGACATGCACCCACAGAACAAATATCAAGATCGACGCGGGAAATCGGTCAAAATGTCAAACGAAAACAAGCAGCACGTGTAACCTCCCCGGCGCCTATCAATAAAAGCAGACGACGAAAAAAGAACAAAAGAAGACGGCGCAAAGCAAACCGGGAGCGCGAAAGAGCGCCAAAGGTTTAAACGGGTCTAAACTGCTGTCGCTGTCGTTCGAAGGAGACTGGTTCATCTGGAAGGGACGCAAAAAAAATCTGTGGCAGCACATGTAAACGGCTGCGAGACTGAATTGTTCGTTGTGTTGCCGGCCCTCAACAGCAACACTTGTCGCAAAAAGATGCAGTGAGAGTGACAAGGAGGGCGACCGCGGTGACGCGGTGGCGGTCAGTGGCCCGCGCACTGATTCCGGACAGTCGTCAGTCGTTTCATCCATCGCTCTGCCTCTCTCGCACTCCTACGGGACGCCCGATGTGTGTGTTAGAGAGAGAGAGAGAGAGAGAGAGAGAGAGAGAGAGAGAGAGAGAGAGAGAGAGAGAGAGAGAGAGAGAGAGAGAGAGAGGGCCATGCGATGAAAAGACTCGTCGGAATCAGCCAAGCGATTCAGAAGATCGGTTTATCGCCGCGTCTCTCTCGCTCCCTCATGGAGAACCCCGTGAGTGCGACAGAGACAGAGCGACGATGCGCCTCCTATGAATCGCCCGACAGTGTGGTGGCCGCTGGGCGACGACGGCGACGCCGCGCCAGTGGGTCCAGTCCAGTCGCCCGCCCGCCGCGCCGCGCCGCGGTCCGTCTAGTGTCTAGTCCGCGACCTGCCGGACCTGCCCCGCGATGCGCAGCTTGCTGCTCGCGTTGCTCCTGGGGGCCGCGGCCTGCTCGGCGGCCACCCTCATCCAGGCCGAGACCCCCGAGACTCCGGACCAGCAGCACGGCCCTGAGGAGCCCCAGGTAAACAGAGAGCGAAGCAGCGAAGCGCCTGTGAGGTAGGCCGCCAGCTCGACTTGCAGCACACCGACGTGGAGAGGGTGGCCTACCTTGCGCCTGTGGGACGGCAGGGGCAAGATAGGCCACCGTCTGCACGTCCGTGTGTTGCAGGCCGAGTCGGCGGCCTACCTCACAGGCGCTAAAGGCCTCAAGTATGCTGCAAGTCAGTGACGCTGCAGTGCACAGCCGCCGAACCCGCACAATGAAACAGCCCTTGGTTGGCCACAAACAGGGACGTCAAACCAGGCCGGGGCGAGTCTCGGTGCAATGCGGTCGTGCGTAACGATGCTCAAACCCGTTGCAGGAGATCGCCTACGTGAGCTTTGACGCCTCCGACAAGTTGAAAGTGACGGTGCTGGAGACGGACGACCCCGAGGAGGCCGAGAAGGACATCCCGGCGGACTATGTCGCCAAAGCCGTGTACAGGAACCTCATCAACCAGACAGGGTACGCGACTGTCGCACAGTGGGCCAGAAGACCGGTGGAGGCGGCCAAAGCTCTAGACGCGTTTTGAGCCCAAGAGTCGCTAAACAGGAGTCGAACCGGATGTGTGACCCCACCAATGGATTCCTCGTCAGGAGAGCAATCCATTAGTGGGGTCACACGTTCGGTTCGGGTACCATTTAGCGACTCTGGAGCTCAAAACGCGCCTAGAGTTTTGGCCGCCTCCACCGGTCTTCTGGCCCACTGTAAATCGCTGGCGTTTGCTACCTCAAGTGACGGTGTCTGAGCCAGCGCTGCTTCGCCTCTTTCGCGCAGGTGGGCGTACCTGGAGCTGCAGACCAACGCCGCCGTGGACGACGAGAGGCAGGCCCGCGCCGCCGGCGCGCTGGAGGGCTACCTCAGCGCCGGCATCCTGCACATGCACGTCAACAACGTGGCCAGGCCGTTCTGTGACGGCCGCCAGGCCTTGTGCGCCAGGATCCAGAAGTTCCTGGAGAGGAACCTGGGCTGGGTGGGCAGCATGGTGAAGAAGCAGGCAGGCAAGGACGTGTACTGGCACCAGGTGTGTAGGACGATTCGCAATGCTTTTGGCGATCTCGAACTTCGCGCCTCAAAAACAGTTCTCCCTGTCCAGGTCAAGCTGTTCTACGTGCAGCAGGACGCGCTGCTTGAAGGGTACAACCTGAAGCGAGCCCAGGACCTGTCGCTGCCCGAGCTCACCCAGAACGACATCCTGTAAGGCCCGCGGGAGTGCATCCAATCCAATCATCTTCCATTTCTGCAGAGCAGTCTTTGTCGCAGTCACGCGCGCTATCGGCGCCATTTTTCAAAAGCGCGGCGGATTGTGTGGAAAAGTAGCGGAGTGCGGATAGCCGGGCGATAGGGAAGCGCGACGACGACGAACACAAAGCAAGTGGCTGGGGTGGCGGGGCGGGGCGCTCTGGGGTGCGGGAAGAGATGATAGCGGGCTGACCTTTGAACGCGTTCGCGCGCGTGCCCGTTGCACCGAGTTTCACAGCAGTCTGCAGGGAAGGACGGCGTACCAGAAATACGAAAACGAGTTCCTTTGTCCGTCCGCATGTCGAGTACCGGGAAGCGCGATGACGTCGTGACGGCTTGGGCGTTGCAGGTGGCTCAACGTGCAGGGCGACCTGGAGGACCTGGTGTCGGCGCTGGCGTCGAGCGAGGACGGCCTGGACAATGAGGCCACCGTGATGGAGCGCGGGCGCGTCCTGGGCTCCGGGTCCTGCTCCGCCCTCATCAAGCTGCTGCCGGGCAGCAAGGACCTCTTCGTGTCCCACGACACCTGGAGCAGCTACGAGACGATGCTGCGCGTGCAGAAGAAGTACGTGCTCAACTACCAGATGGGTCCCGGCCGCGCCCGCTCCGAGCTGCTGCCCGGCCGCGCCATGAGCTTCTCGTCTTACCCCGGCGTCCTCACCTCCGGCGACGACTTCTACATCATGTCCACCGGGCTCGTGAGCCTGGAGACCACCATCGGCAACGGCAACGCGTCGCTGTGGCAGTACGTCAAGCCCGTCGGCCAGGTACGTCGACGTTTCGATCCCCGGAACGTTACACGTTGGGCCAGACGGCCGATGGAGGCGGCCAAAATCCCGGGTGCGTTTGGAGCTCCAGAGTCGCTAAATGGGACTCGAAACGAACGTGTGACCCCACCAATGGATCACGCTCCGAACGAGGAGTCCTGGTGGACTCACACGCTCGGTTTGAGTCCTTTTCAGGAGTCGAACCGGATGAGTGACCCCACCAATGGATTCCTCGTTCGGAGAGCAATCCATTGGTGGGGTCACACGATCGGTTCGGGTACCATTTAGCGACTCTGGAGCTCAAAACGCGTCTGGAGTTTTGGCCGCCTCCAGCGGTCTTCTGGCCCACTGTTCACCGGTCTGCTGGCCCACCGCGCGTTACCTTGCCGTGGGCACGCTTGATGGCTTGGACTTCCCCGCCCGCAGGTGGCGGAGGGCACCCGCTCCATGGTGGCCAACCGGCTCGCCACGAGCGGCCGCATGTGGACGCAGCTCTTCTCCAAGTACAACTCCGGCACCTACAACAACCAGTGGATGGTGGTGGACTACACGCGCCTCGTGCCGCAGTCCGAGGGCCAGTCCAAGAGCGGGCTGCTGTACGTGCTGGAGCAACTGCCCGGCTTCATCAAGGCGGAGGACCTGACGTCGGTGCTGCTGAGCCAGGGCTACTGGGCCTCCTACAACGTGCCCTACTTCAAGGACGTCTTCTCCATGGGCGGCAACGAGCCCCTCGTCAGGAAGTTCGGCGACTGGTTCACGTTCGAGCACAGCCCCCGCGCGGAGATCTTCCGTCGCGATCAGGTCAGTCCAGCGCGATGGGGTGGAGTACGCTGACACGCTGACACTCACTGGTTGCGAGAGTCGTTTTTTCGTCACTCTGTCTCCGTCGCACTCGTGGGGCCTCCCGTAGGTGCGAGAGAGACAGACTCTCTGAATCAGACTGCTGGAAGTGGAGCCGCTGGTACGGCACGCGACGGGACCATGACGCGACGCCCATCGCGACGATGAGCACTGCAGGCCGATTCCGAGAGTCGTTTTCGTCGCTCTGTCTCTCTCGCACCTACACGGGACGCCCCATGAGTGCGAGAGAGACAGAGCGACGAAGGCGACTCTCGGAATCAGTCTGCTGCCCAACCTCCCACCAGGCCGCGTTCGCCGCGTTCGCGTCGCGTTTCGCGAACCGCCGCTGAGTGTGTCCCATCCCGAGTCCCGCCCCGCGAGCAGGCGGAGCAGGCCGCGTGCAGAAACACGCTGGCAGTGCCCACGCGTCCGGACGCAGCCCGCGACGGCCGCGACGGTGCCAAAGCGAATGGGGCCCCAGCCAGCCGGCCGGCCAGCCAGTCCCGGCCGTGGCCCCGGCAGCACCCGGCAGCCATGGGCCAACAGCCGGTACGGGACGCGACGCGAGCGCGGCGAGTCTAGCGACGGAGTCGAGTCGAGCCGGGCCGAGCCACGTGTTTGGGTCGGTCGGGGCGGAGCCGAGCCGGCGGTCTGTACTTTATTAACACGAGGCGCCGAACTGAACGCGGTAGGCCTCGTCCAAGTGCACTGGCGGCACTAGCACAGTGCGGGGCGGGGGTGGCCGAGTGCCGAGTGTCATCCATTGTCGCGCGCTTCACCGAGTGCTTCCGTGTGTACAGGGCAAGGTGTCGGACCTGCAGGGCATGTGGCGCCTCATGCGCTCCAACGACTTCAAGAACGACCCGCTGTCCGTGTGCAACTGCACGCCCACCCACAACGGGGAGAACGCCATCGCGGCGCGCAGCGACCTGAACCCCGCCGACGGCAAGTACCCGTGGGGCGCGCTGGGCCACCGCAACCACGGCGCCACGGACACCAAGATCACCTCCAAGGAGCTGGCCGCGTCGCTGCGCTTCCTGGGCGAGTCCGGGCCGCCGCACTACTCCGAGTCGTGCCCCGTCTTCAGCTGGAGCACGGCCGACTTCGCCGCCACCACGCCGCACCAGGGGCTGCCTGACGCCTGGAAGTTCCCGCCCGTCGTGCACCCCTGGGCCTGGGGCTTGAACCACTTCTAGTGCCGCGTGCCTCCCCCCACGCCGCAGCACGCGCGCCGGCACCGGTATCCACGCCCACCCGCCCGCCACCGCCGGCTGCGCAGGCCTGCTCATGGCGTCGCCGGCAACCTCGCACCGGCAGCTGCTGCAGCTGGATCGTGGCCTCGGCGGCGTTGACGGCGTTGACGGAGGGACGGTGTGCCTACCGCTGCCTCCGTCGACACCGTCGTCGTCCTCGTCTTCGTCGTCAGCGGCGTCGACGCTGACGGATGACGGTCTAGTGTCCGTGGACATGGCCGATGTCGCGGGCGACGACTTCTCGGTGTGCACCATGAAGACGGTGTCCGTGTCCTCGCTGCTGATGCCCTCGCCGTGCTACATCGTGCTGCTGCTGCTGTGCCCGCCCGTCTTCGGCTTCGTGCTCTTCTTGTTCGTGCAGTACTTCGTGCCCGTCCTCGTGCAGATCCTCATGGACATGTGATTCGTCGTCCTGCTCACCGGATTCAATTTCCTTTTCCCCCTTGGATGTGATAATGCAGGCAGGCATGGTGCAAGACTGAAATTAGAAATTTTATTTATCATTTGTTAGTTTAAAACAGTGTTAGCATGTTAATATACTTGACTTTCTGCTTTAAATCTGAATGATTATTGTGATAATAAAGAAATAGAACTACTAATTTCGTGTTTGTGTATGTTTCCCACCACGCAACTGATCGCTAAAAAAAAATAAGATAAATCTGAAAGCAGTATGACACAAAATTTCGAAGGGATTAAAGATATCATCAGCTAAAACGTAAAAAAAAAGAAAATTAAAAAATTGTCATTTGTCATGTGGTCTCCCCTCCCGCCCGATTTCCGCAAACTAAATTTATCATACACCACTATTTCTCATACACCACAAAACACAACACTAGCAGACAACTATTTTAACCTAGTCTGCATGCGTTCTATTTGACTCACAGGACAGTAACATTTTTCTCTATTTTTTTCCATTCTAAGCCACCTTATATACATCTGGTTATGTTTTTAAAATTTGTTTGTTCGTTGTTGGCCTAAATTCAATCATGTGGTTTGCTCTGAGGCGAATTGTGAACGTTGGAGCAAATCAACTTACAAGCTTCAGCAAGTTATCTTGTTGTTGTGGAATAAGAAGTAAGACCTGTGCCTCCCTGGAAAAACAGAATTGGCTCTCCACGCAGGCTCCCATGCACCTACAAGATATGTCAAATCATGGTAACCAAGGTAATTCTACCAGTTGCCAAAAAGTCAAACTGAATCCTGAGATTGACGATAGACCTTACAAATTATCCAAGGAACAAGAAGAATTTCTGACTCAAGGAAGTGCAGAAAATAGGCTGAAGTTAGATGAATTTTTACTGCAATTGCAAACATTTAGGGAGACTGGAACAGAGTTACCTGATGTGGTGAAACTTGAGGACTTGTGTAATATGTTACCTCTTGCTTATGTCAAGCGATTGCGCTATTTGACATACTTAATGAAGATTGAATACAAGTCTAAAATGCAAGTTCAACGAAAGGCAGCCAAACAAATTTCCCGCAGTCAGAAGATAGAAAAGAAGCAGGAGCTGGAATCGAAGTTGGAGCATCCCTGGCTCGAACACAGTAATCTCATGATGCCAATCCATAAAGGGCAAATGAACCATTTTTATAACTCCAATTCACTTGCGGCAAGTAACTCATGTTTCACTCATTTTATTTGTGTAAATTATCAACACCCAGACCAGAGTATGTATTCCAAATCTTACTTATCGATCATGTTTTTATTTCAGGGGTTACTTTATGGTCAGAAGGTCGTAATAGATTGCTCCTATAACTCGTATATGAATGATTTATCTATAAAGCTCACAGCAAAACAGATATTATTTTGCTTCTACAGCAGCCGCAAAAACCGAAGACCATTCTCGTTGTATATTTGCAATCTAGATTATGATAGCAGATTAATGTATTATCTGAAGAAACTTCATCCAGGAGTATTAGATGTTCCCATCAGCTTCCACTCAAAATCTTATACTGAGCTTTTTGACAGGTATGTATAAATATGAGTGTGGATTTGTAGTTTTACTGAAATTTATTAATCTTGTTGATGCTTTTCAGGAAAAAGATTGTTTATCTTACACCTCATTCATATACTGTATTAAACTACAACCCAGAAGACATTTATATCATTGGTGGTTTTGTGGATAAACAGCAGCTTGAAGTGTCTCGATCCAAGGCAGAGAATGAGCACTTACGGTTTGCTTCTTTGCCACTGGACAATTATTTGAAATGGAAGAGTGGATCCAGGAGCCTTTGCCTTCATCAAGTAAGTCATTCTATTTTTTAAATTGTTATTTTTATCATTACATTTAAAAAAATTAAGAAATAGTGTGACTTGAATGATATTGGATTATGTTCAATTGACTCTGTTTTTAGTGTCTTGACATTCTCTTGGAGGTGAAGAACACAGGGGACTGGTCAAAAGCTCTTCAGGCACATGTGCCCTCAAGAAAAATCAAACCCTTGTGACTTGTAGTTTGTGACAAGTTTAGCATTACTGCTGGAAAAGGACCAGAAATAAAGTTAACTAATTGAGTACGCTGACTAGTTTTACTTGGATACCCTAACAAAAAAACTTGCTCAAGGCATAACTCATGCACATATTCCCCAGGAGACATTTTCAGAAAATTATGCAGAGGTACTTTGGCACAGCAGGAAACAGCCTCACCTGAACAAAATTTTAGTAGTCCGATCGCCGGGAGACTGCCAATTTTTATCTATCTGGACTCAGTACACGCTCATGCTGTGCACCTCTGAACAGTGGTGCCGCTAGGGAAGGCCACCAATTCGACACGGCGACGGCGAGAACTCTTTTGCATGAGTGACTAATTGCAGCAAGGCTTGTTTGGAAGAACTTATCAGGTATTTATTTATATAGACAGAGCCGCGCCGCCAAGGTAGGCCACCTCTTCGGCACGTCACAGGGAAGACGTGCAAAACCATGGAGGCATATTAAGCTTAGTTTATCTCCATGGCAAAACAGGGCACGTGTAGGCAAAAGAGTTTTTCTTATCGGGTTCCCACCTCAAGTTCATTAAAGCTCAAATTTGAAAACTCGTGGGCACTACTTTCTTTTATTTTTATACCAATGCTGCCAACCTACCAGCTGTCTTACATTCGTCTACTTCATTTTTTAAAGAAATGCTCAGAAGAAATCATAGGGGCCAGAAAAAATTCGAAAACCTTACTGAAAGTTTGAGCATGAGAGTCAATGCTTAAAACATAAACCTTTTAAAACGATAGTCTCTTTTCTGAGGGAAAGTTTTTCCTAGCCGTTGGTACAACCTTTCCAACTCGAGCAGAGTTTCGAGAAGGCGGAGGAGAATGGCGGCCATGATGGTCGATGTAAACATTCAGACGACAAATTACAGGTTCTATTGACATCAACCCAATTTTTAACTGTAACTCGAGGTTTTACAAGGGATTTGCTTCTTGGATGACAAGATAATGCTCCTCTAATCTTTCAAAATACGGGGGACGTACGAAGACTATCGCTCGCTTGCATACTATTTTTCTGTAGAAGATTAGAAGAGGGGGCGAACCGGTCGGTGGTGCACTAGAAATTGCTAGCAATGTGGCTGTTTTATTTCCAAAAAGCATCAACTGCTGGACTTCTTTTATTTGATTCATCAAGATAAATAATTAGTACTTTTGAGCAAAGTACTGTTTGTCAGTTCCTTGTCAACCAATAGTGGTTAAAAATGGTTTCCGAAACCCTTTTTGCGAAATATGTTCAAGTGGCAGTTGTGGTCTTAGGATATTGGTCAGTACTGTTGAATTGTTTGAATTTTATTTCTGTGTATCTCTGAAAAATACGACCATTAACATATTTTGTTTGGTTCCACAGGGTTGTGTCTATAGTCACTGTTTTTGTGAACAAAACGTTGTTCAGCAGTGACAAGATTGATCTAGATGCACCACTATTTGTTACTTGGTTTCAATGTGTTACTTCTACAGTGATATGCTTCACTCTCAAAGTTCTTGCTTCCACATTCCCAAACAAAGTTTCATTTCCCTCTGGCACTCCTCTGGATCGAGCTGTTTTCAAGAAGGTAGGTTTCCATTTTATTTTCACCTAAAAACATATTTGAGTGAATTTCGGCACAGGGCATAGATGGTTCCTTTCTCCTGTTTCAGGTTTTCCCACTCTCTGTGACATTTGCAACTATGATTGTGTCCAACAATTTATGTTTGAAATATGTTGATGTAGCGTTTTATTACATAGGCCGTTCCTTAACCACGGTTTTCAATGTGATATTGTCATATTTATTTTTAGGTGAGCTTGGTTGTGTGATTATGGAATTAACTTAAGTGGTTACTGTCTCATCATGCTGGCAAACTACATGTGAATCTAAACTCATGCTTTGTTTTACAAAATAGGTCAGAAGACGTCTTTACCATCCATAGGGTGCTGTATTGTGATTATATCTGGATTTTGGCTGGGCATTGATCAGGAGAGTATAGCAGGTAAAAGCATGAGCCTGACTTCTGCTTTTCACTTAGTTTATCTCAATTATGACTCCTATTCCCCATTCTATGACACTTTTCCATTTTTAAATGTTTAGGGTCTCTGTCAGTGACTGGAACATTCTTTGGACTTCTCGGTTCACTGGCACTTCCACTTTACTCCATTCACATGAAAAATGTTCTTCCAGCTGTAAATCAAGAGGTGGGGTTTGGAAAATAATTTCTGTAACTATATGTCATTTAGACTTTCTAATATGTCTGTTTTTATTTTTATTTCCAGATTTGGCTTTTGTCATACTATAATAATGCATACACTTCCATAATACTCATACCATTAATGGCACTTAATCATGAAATACCAATTGTGCTAAACTATCATGGCTTATTCAGTCTTTATTTTTGGATGCTGATGACAATTGGAGGGGTTTGTGGATTTGCCATTGGTTTCTTCACAGGATTACAAATAAAGGTAGAGGTGTTCTCTCAATCTCCCTCTTTCTATTTTTAAAGTGAAAAATTTAAATTCTGTTTATACTGACTTGAAAGTTTCACTGCCTTGACTGTAATGACTTTGTTGGCAGGTAACATCTCCACTGACCCACAACATATCAGGCACCGCCAAAGCCTGTTTCCAGACTGTTATAGCTACCCAGTGGTTTGGGGAAATTAAGTCTGGTCTTTGGTGGCTGTCAAATTTCACAGTCCTTGGTGGCAGTATGTTTTACACTTATGTGAAACAGCAGGAAATGAAGAAGGAATATTCATTAGTCGGCCCAAACAAAGTGTGATACAAATGACAAATCATGTGATGTAAACAGCTAGTGTAGTCATTGAATGTTAAATCTTCATTATGCACTGAACTGAACATTGTCAAAATACCTGCATCTATCGTTCCTCGATTCAGTAGATAAATTAGATAGAATGTGATCAGTGTTACAGTTATGTTGCAGCTATGTCTGTCGTACACTTTAGTTAGTCATACCCCGCAAAAGAATCAATTTCAAATTTCATAGTTGTTACTTTTTGAAATATTCTGTTGTCAAGACCTTTTATCTCTTTCTGTTTCAACCTGTCTTGTGTTTGGAATTGAAATCTTACTTCATTATCCTCATTGTTATAGTATTAAAATCTTTTAAGACTGAAAGGCACACCTTTGTTATGTTATAGTGAAAATAAGGCCATTTTTTGACCAAAATTTTGTAACATCATTTTATGCATTGAAAGGTACACACTTGAAATCCTTCCTTTAATCCATAATCACTTCTAACTTCCATGAGTCGAGAAAAAAAAAAAACCTTAAAAAAATTACATATTGTCAAGCTTTAAAAATTGAAAAGATCAAATTGAGACACCAAAAAAGTGATAAAAACAAATACTAGAATTGGGACCTGCAATTGTCGTTGTTTGTTTTTAATAATAAAGTATCTTGTACATATTCACTCAGAGTTTAATTTTCTTAACGTCCCATGCATCTTTATTGTATCAGTTTCCAAAAAAGAAAGTTATAATGAAAAACCCTGCTTATATTATGAAATGCAGCAAAAAAACCCAGGCATTTGGCAGCAGTCAAAATTAATTTATGACTCTTCCTCTGTTGCTTCATTCTCTCAAGACGTGACAAGGACACGCAAATTGCCCCCTGCCCGCAAAAAAAAAAAGATCAAAAATCAACAAAAGACCAACTATACAACTTTTGAATGCACCCGCCTCTGAACTGAACCAGTTGTTTTGTGACGGACCCTCTCGGCGCTCCGACAAGGCGCTGACACATTGGTGCTTGATTAGTTGACGGACCCACCGACCCACCCCCTCGACTGCCTCGCTGCCCGCTACCTTCTCGACGCGAAGTGCGTCATTTGGAGCCACCACCGCGACGCTCTTTCGCTGTTTCAGAGCGCGACAGTGGCGTAGCAGGGCGTAGCCAGCGCAGCAGCAAACTGATCCCGAGAGTCGTCGTCTCTCTCTCGTACTCATAGGGCGTCATGTATGGGTGCGAGAGAGACCGAATCAGTCTGCAAGCCGCCAGCAGAGCCAGTACCAGTGTGATTCCAAATAGCGCTTCGTCACTGTCTCCCTCGCACCTCCACGGCGCGCCTCAGGAGTGCGAGGGAGAGAGAGAGACGGAGATGAAAGCGCCGTTCGGAGTCAGCCTAGGAACGGACCGCGTCAGCGCGGCGTGCATCGCTCTCTGGGCGCCCCGCGCCCCGGTGGGGTGGGGTGGGGTTCGTCAAAACGCACGTGTTATTTTCTGTCGGCTGGCGGCCGCCCCACCCCGCCCCGCCCCGCCGGGCCGCGCCGGTTCGGTCGGCGTGCTGGGCGTGCTGCGGGGCACGGCACAGGCCCGCCCCGCCTCGGCCTGCGTGGTCCACCGCGGCGGGGCGGGGCGGGGCGGGGCTGCGACGGGCAGGGGCGTGGTTGCCCGCCTAGGCGCGGCGCGCGGCGGCGCGGCCCCAGCCAGCCAGCCCGGCCTGGCCGTCGGCCAACACCAAGAAGCAAGAAGCAGCTTTTGGTGGCGTCGGGGAGCGTGGGGGAGCGTGGACGCGCAGTGGACGCGCGGTGGACGGGTTAGCCCGGCGTGGCCGTGCTAGAGACCCATGGGCTGCCACTGCCACCTCGGCGCGTCGTCAGCGACCATGGGTCGTCGCGATGGTCGTCGCGATGGTGCTGGCCATTGTCGCGGCCTCCGGGACCGCGGGGACGACCATGGGACGCCGTCGGGGTGCCTCGTCCCGGACACCAGCCCCGCCGCCGAGCCGAGCCGCGCCGAACTGAAGGCAAGCGCGCGCGGTGCCCCGCTCCCCGAGCTGGCCGTGCTCCTTGCTAACAAGCACGAGCACTCCCCCGGCACTCCGACACGCGGCCCTGCGCAGCCCGCCCTCTGGCGCGGCCGTGCCGCCGCGGCCCCAGTCTTATTCCGAACGGCGCGTCGCCGCTCAGTCTGTCCGTCTCTCTCGCCCCCGCGGTGCGCTCCGTGAGTGCGAGAGAGACAGGGCGACGAAAGCACTGCTCGGAATCAGCCTGCTGGCCAACATTTACGACGGGGGAAGCGTTCCGAATCAATCCGGCCCGTCCCTCCACTGTACAGCCCTGCAGACCTTCAGCAACAAGCCCCGTGGATCCTGAGCCCTGAGGGCCTGGCCCGGCCTGGCCTGGGGGCCGTCCGTTTACTACGTAACACTAAAACAAAGGGACGGCCGCGTCGAGCACCAGGGATCTAGGGATCTAGGGACGGCCCCCGTCCAGCTCGGATACGACAGCGAGTGCTTCGGCCGCCAAATTTATAGTGGCGGTGACGAACAGCGGCAATAACCGAGGACGCGCTGAGCCGAGTGCAGCCCGGGGTACTTCATCATCAGCGCTGGAATACTTCCTGGCCGGCCCTTCAAGATTTGGAGGCCCTCTCCCGGCGGGGCGGGGCGGGGCGGGGCCGCCAGGCCGGCACACAATGGCGGTTATATGGCAGACAAAACAAACTAACTGCTTCATAAAGCAAGGCGAGGGCCCTCAGAAAGGACACTGCTAAAAAGAAGCGCGAGGGCAGCTCTTTCGCAGTGTGGCTGCCGCGCTGGCGTCGCAGCCGCCGCACGTACGTCTCCGTCTTGCTGAGGAGGCACATCGCTGCGCGCTCCGCGCCGACTTCCACGAGGCCCTGCTGCACGTGGCCCCTGCACGTGCTCCGTCCCGTCCCTCTTGTTGCTGACGAGCAGTTCCCGCGAATAGGGGAGATAGGGGAGCCTCCTCGGCCGCCACGCCGCTACCCGCTCCGACTTCACGCACGGCCCCACCAGGAGTGCCCGGCGAGAAAGACCGGAGCCGAGGCCGCGTATTTCGTAACGCCGTCCATGAAGAGCGACAAGGATGGCGCCATGGCGATCCCTCTCCCTCTGCCGCGTCGCCGCCGGACCGGAGCGCCCGGCAGGTAGGCCTCCGGGGCGCTCTGGTGCGGGCGAGTTGCCTACCCGGCGGTCCGCAGGCGCTTTGCCGGCGGCGGTCGCGCGTCGAACAGCCGGAACGCGTCACAGTGGGCCAGAAGACCGGTGGAGGCGGCCAAAACTCCAGACGCGTTTTGAGCTCCTGAGTGGCTAAATGGGACTCGAACCGAACGTGTGACCCCACCAATGGATTGCTCTCCGAACGAGGGATCCATTGGTGGGGTCACACGTTCGGTTCGAGTCCTGTTTAGCGACTCTGGAGCTCAAAACGCGTCTAGAGTTCTGGCCGCCTCCACCAGTCTTCTGGCCCACTGTGCACGTCTCTTTCTGGAAGGCTGCCGCCGCCCCGGGTTCGAACACCCACCGCCGCCGGTCATTTAGCGCAACACGTGCAGCAGGGACGACGGGGACGCGCGGACGCCGTCGGGTCGGACTCTTTTCTACTTCCTGGCTCCCCTCCCCTCCACCGGCGGGGCGGCCGCGGCCACGGTCGCGATGCCAGCGTCACTTACATCAAGGCGGGCTTGGGCTCGCGTGCGGCCCCACGGCCTCGGCAGACTCCCCTGGGCCCGCCGCACCCAGAGCCACCCCGCCCATCCCATAAGCCCCGGCCCAGCCCGCCAGCCAGGCAGCCAGCCAGCCCGCCAGCCAGGCAGCCAGCCAGGCAGGCTAAACGGCAGCAAAAGTATTAACAGTCGCATTCGTTTAAATTAAGAGGGGCGCCGGGGGACCGGGGCGCGGCGGACAGCCTGGCCGTGCGGCGGACTGAAGGACGGACCCCGGAAGGGAGGGGGAGGGTTTGCATCCGCGGGGGTCGCGTGCCTTTTCAATCAGCTGACTTTGTTTCCCTGGTGAACGGTTTCCTTTCATCGCGTCCGGACAAAGCCGCCCGGAGGAAGCATGCGCGGCGGGGCCGAGGCCGGGGCGGGGAGCCACCGAGCCGCCACCAGCCGCCACCCCGGTCGGTGCAGGGTGCACTCCCTGCAGTCCCATGCCTCGGCCCGCCGGCCTGGCCTACGCTCCCGACCTAGCCAGTGTACCTGCGCGACCGCGAGCTCGCAGTGCACGCCGCAGCGTTGGCAGCACCGCGGCCCGCGCTCCTCGCTCCGCGGTTGGCAGCCCTGCCGGCCCGGCCGGTGCATGTCCGAGAGAGAGGGAGGGAGAAAGAGAGAGACAGCTGCAGGCCCGCGTCCCGCGTCCACTCTGGCCGCGGCGCCGCGGCTCGCAGAGGGCGAGCCTAGCTCTCGGCTCGCTGCTCAATTTAGCCCTAATCTAAAACCGAAGCGCTTGGCGTGCTTGCCGGCTGCTCTGCCTGGCGGGCTGGCGGGCCGGCGGGCTGGCTGTGCCTCGTCGTGCTCGGCCCTCGGCACCCTCGGCCCGGCAGGAGCACGGCCGCGCCGCCGCGCCGCGCCGCCCCTCGGCCCGAGAGCGCCCCGGCCCGCCAGTGTGCGTGCGGCCGTGCGCGTGCCACCACGACCGGTCCACGTCATCGCGCCGCTCATCGAGGCCCTCACCGTGCACGGCTGGACACGTGTGGGTCGGTGCTCGAGCACGCGCCACGTCGCCGTCGGGGAGTCGGTGCACGCGCGGGTCGTTCACGTCGTCTTGGACGCGGCCTGAGAGAGGAATCATCGCGTTGTAGAACGAAGGGCGCTCCGGTCCGGAGTTACTTTGTCCACTAGTGACGTCTACCCGGAGTTACTTCCTACCCCACTGACGTCTACCTGGAGTTACTTCCTACACTAGTGACTTCTACCCGGAGTTACCTCCTACACTAGTGACGTTTGCCCGGAGTTACTTCCCACACAAGTGACGTCTTCCGGCAGTTACCTCCTGCACGAGTAACGTCTGCGCGGGGTTCTATCACGAGTAACATCTTTCCGGAGTTACGAGTGACATCTGCCCGGAGTTACGAGTGACATCTTCCCGGAGTTACGAGTGACATCTGCCCGGAGTTACGAGTGACATCTGCCCGGAGTTACGAGTGACATCTGCCCGGAGTTACGAGTGACATCTGCCCGGAGTTACGAGTGACATCTTCCCGGAGTTACGAGTGACATCTTCCCGGAGTTACGAGTGACATCTGCCCGGAGTTACGAGTGACATCTGCCCGGAGTTACGAGTGACATCTGCCCGGAGTTACGGGCGACATCGTGGCCCCGCGGCGTGTCCGCGGCCATGCCCGCCGCAGCCTGCACGGGGCCCTCGCCAGCCGTCGCCTCGCCCGCCATCGTGTTAGTGCAGTGCAGTGAATGAGTGCAGTGCAGTGAATCAGTGCAAGTGCAGTGCTCTTTGGATATCCGCCGCGCCGCCGCCCCGCCGCCCCCTGGATGCGAATGGGATTTTAACCGGCGCGCCGACCGGGGCCAAGACCAGCTTCACCATGGCGAAGATGAGGTTAGAATGTTGTGCTTTTCCCCTCCCACTCACCCCATTCCCCGCAACGTGCGTGCAACGTGGCGGGGTGCTGAGTCAAGCGAGAGGATCGCTGGTGACGTGAGCGTCGG